ATATTTTTTATAAACTGTAATTCCAAAGAAAGAAAATTACATGAACACAAACATTAAATGTTTTTTCGCGATAAGAATCCATTAGCTCATTTAGCTATCTTATGCAAATTTTATGTAACGTTAAATATTTATTCCTTTATATGCACCAAGAAGTTCAATAAAGAATTGCTGATTCCCGCCCCCTGAAGTGACTTTGCAATAATCCTATTATAGTTAGTATGAATGCTATTAGTAGACAACTGGTATGCATTATTTATAGGTAATTTATTAATTAATGATAGCATTGCATCTTTTTTTTTACAGATCGCCTGACACAAAATTCCGCTGGAATACTGCGAAGTTATAAATATTACATTGAAGTGTGATAGCATCACAACGCATATATATGTGCCCCTTCTACATCCGGCGGTCTATCTCGTTTGATATGAGAAATAATATTTGCCTTAAGTTTGCCACGTAAACTTTCGACAGATATTAGTGGAAAAGCGAGAAGAGAAGAGGCCGCCGAAATTCTCACTATATTCTCTCCACTCGTCGTTATGTTTATAGGCAATAATTAATCATCAAAGTAAAAGTTCATAATAATATCCTCCTTTAACAGAGTTCCATCGAGTCATTTGTCTCTTCTTTTCGAGCCTGCTATTATCTATCCTACCTTTCAATTACAAGCTTCTTCAATTACGCTGAAAAGCACGTGATTCTCTCGCATTTTCATTCTTTTCCCGATAATATTTATCCGAACGTAATGCGATAACGCTTGCATACGAAACGAAGGTCATATTACTACTGGAAGTATTATACATCTGTGCCAAGTTAACTGTTTTTATCATCCCGAATTTCCCTATTCTTGCATATGTATGCATTGATAATTAGCGGCGATCAACAAAATTTTATGCAGTATGCAATTCTGTTCCGTTATTCTTGAAAGTCAGATACCGAGAGATAATTTACAGCGGACGTCCGCTAATTTTACGAGAGGCTCAGCGAATGCATTTATCGAATTCCTATTGCTCTTTTTTCATTGTTTATTTCGAAATATCACTTTGTTATTACAGTTGGCTTTAAATATGAAAAGATCATATTCGGAGGGTGAGAACCTCGATCGATTGGAGTGCCGTTGCAAAAAAAATGCAGCTTTGATTCCGGAAAGTAGTCAACAAGTGGAAGTCTTCCCGCGTCTCACGGATATTCGTCTGCAGGAATCTGGAATAGTCAATTTATCGGACACTGAATTAGCGATCAGGTAAGTAGTGAAACTTGGTATATAATTTAATTAATCGTACAAATATAATTTAATTGATCATACAATTTAATTAATTGTTGAACAATTTTTATTTTCAGGGAGAATTCAAATGAACTCGAACTGCAGGTAAATAAGCGCATTCTAAGTACAAGAATTGTATAAGATATTTTGACGGATTGTTACATGACACTACTTCTATTGTAGAAGAAGTACACAGCGTTCTCGTTATGCCTCTGCATAGAAAGGTTGACTTTACCGCGAAGGACAGCGATGTCGCTTCGACAACGCGATCAATCCGAGAAAAATCTCTCCTACGAAGTGCGGAAGATGCAGCAGGACATTCAGGCAAGCGAATACGAAAATATCTTGGTGCTTATTAAGCAATCGTGTAAAATTTTCGGCTAAATCGTTGAAACGTATTGAAATCGTCTAAACTGATCGCGAAGCGTTTGCCAGTTAGCTAGTAGTCGTTCTCCATGGTTCGTTGAAGGGATTGAATTTTGCGTAACGTCAGGAACTCGCGCCACTATGCACGGACAGGGAATCCGTGGAGCGGGTAGAACGGGTCAGACATCAATTGGACATGATCGTGCGATGTGCGCACAGGGTGTCCTGCGTGGCCGAGACTCTAGGCGCCGTGCAGCAGGAGCGTAGGGTATCCCGAGCTGTTTTGCTGGCCGACAAATACCTTCACGTATTGTATTCCCGGTGCGAGAAGCTGATCACCAATGTCGCCGAGACCAAGTGAGGGTCAGACTTATCATCTTTTCCTATTCGTCTTGCTCATCGTCCAATTTATATTTTGAGTTTTGACATTGTTTTCAAAATGTGATATTCGCGTCTTTGATCTTCCTATCATGACTAAAATTTTAAAGGCTTGCTTTCCTATAGAAATCAGTCGATAATCGGATAAATTCGGGATAAATATTCTTAGTGAAAGATTTGTTAGTATTTGATGTGAAATTCTCTCTCCCTTTGTTTTCGAAACGATGAGATAGTATCGGTGATAGTACACGTTGTTCGTTTCCAGACGGATCCTGGTAGAGAACAACATAGTGATAGAGGAGAATGCCAGCGAGTTCAACGATGAACTGCCTCGCATCAGATACAGGAGTGGTACACCCGCCAATAATCGTATGATGGTTCGAAAATATTGAAAAAATTCATATTCATCGCTTTCTTTCGCCAGCTTTTCGTCACGCGTTAGATGTCCATCGTATCTCGTTTTGCACTTTCCATCGCTTCGTTGTTGTGCACTCGCACGTTTGCACAATTTCGCAGGAATTTTTTTTATACATTCACAGCTTGCACTCTCATTTTTTTTCTTAATTCCGTTTTGCCGATTGATAATCGGTATATTCTTTTTCGTCCATTTTTCTTTCTAGATGGCTAGGAGAAGAGCCAGCGTAGCCACAATGTCTCCGCCGATAGGCAGCGCACAGGATGTGACAAAGGCAATTTGTCTCGTTATTTATACTGTTTTAGCTTTAAATTTTTGCTTTTACAGCCTGGTATTTCAACAGGGTTATCCTCTTATATTTCTGCACTACTAACACTGACATGCATGATTGCCTAGTTACTTTTTCTTTTTATTCTTTTTATACATTGTCTACATTTTTCACTTTTTGCTCCATATAGGACACTGTGAGGCAGCGAAATTCCGTTTCCGGACGCATGACTCTCAGGAGACCATCGTTCAGCTCCGAATCCCCAAAGTGGGATATCGAAAAACTAGATCGTGCCGAGTTAGTAATATTATTATTGACTTAGATTTAAATTTCTTAAGCTTAAAACATTTATTGAATATCTTAAAGTAATTATTAAATATTTAAAAAATACAATGTTATACTACATTGAACTTTTTAAATAATTTAAACAATTGAATTTTTTAAAAATATTTTTAAACAGAAGTTCCAATAGCATCAGTGAATTACGAGGTATTTTCGAGCAGGCTGAGTCTCGTCGTAGCTCGAGAGAGGAAAATAACAACATGCTACGATTGAATCACTCTAATGGCCAAAGTACAATAAATTGTACGATAATCGATAACGAGATTTGGACGAACGTAAAAGAGGAAGTCTCTTCCGAAGTTTCTGACAACGAAAGTATTAATTCTGAGAGTAAATCGAGGTAATTGATTTTTTCCATTCAATTTCTTTTTATCGCTGTATCTAAAATTGTTGCCTCTTTTAATGCAATTTCTTTTTTTAGCGCAAAATCGTCACAATCCTTCCTATTAAGACGAAAGAGAAGAGTATTATCAATATGGCATATAGTGCTGTTGAGTATTCTAATTTTCTTCTTCGTGTTTTATATGATTCATGCAATGTCATTAAACGTTTGCCAAGAACCATTAAACAAACGGTTGATCGGATTCGTTTTCGACAAATGCGGTCAGATAAGGAACGCGGCGCCTCCAATGTGACTTTCTTGCGTTCTGATTAGCTGTATCAGTAAAATAAGTAGCAAGACTAAGTGTACATTGTAATATATGTCAATTATGGAAAGGCTGAATAAATTAATAATTGCAGAGTTCGTTTCGCCTTCTAATGAGGTCACGCTTTAGCCACGAGAGCTGTGATTAAGGTTTTCGGTTCCTCATTGCAACTGTGTTTGTATCATGGCTTCAGAAACGATAAATCAATAAATACTTCTATATTTTATGCGAAATAAATTGATTTTGCGACCATTACTTGTGTTTGATATAAGATAAAATTCGAAATATTGTAAATGTATTAATAAATAACTGTAAATGTAGTCAAAATTTTTATTTACGCTGAAACCGATGGACACATCGATATTGAATAATACATTCATTTATTAATGCAAAAAAATTGGAATGATAAAAATGTTTAACATTTTAATCAATTTATATTATAAAACCCGCATACGGAAGAATTAATTTATCTCGACATAAAATAAGAAAGATTGTCCTTGCTTCTGACATTCATAATTCAATGTGATTGCAATGAGAGATCAGAAACTTAAAAAAAAAATAGAAACTGTTTATCTACATGCCACTGAATTATATTTATATTAAAAAATAATATGATTGTATTTTTTTGTATTTCTATTGGAAAATTTTAATAAGATATTCGAGAACTATTTGTTTGAGATTTGTTTTAAACGTTGAAAAATATTCGAGGATATTGCGTTTATTTTGTTAATAGATTATTTTTAAAAAATAAGATAAAATTTATGTATTAAATGTTTTGAAATATATTTGGAAAATTATTGTTAATAAAGAAGAATTAAACAAGTAATTTGATTACAGGGATTTTGACACGTTTTAATTTTTCGTTGGCACAATCTTCCTCTTATCAGTCAAGACTAATTATGTAAAAATTAACTTTCAGATTATGAAAAACTATAGGAGACAAGAATAATGTTAACAAAATACAAAACAAATCATCGATTTATTATTTTTTATTCGTATTCTTTACAATAGAAGAAGTATTAAAAACCTTCTGATGGAAGGTTATGTAATTGTTAAACTTTCTTTGAAGAACTTTTATTACATTATGTCAGGTTTGATTATTCATGCAATAATTGTAGAAAAAAGCGTATATATACATCATTGCGTTTTACTTTTATCGCTGCAGATTATTACTTCGCTTTTATTGTTTTTATAATTAATTCATATATATTTTAAAAACGTAGTTATCATTAATCGATAATACATATGTAAGAAATTACCAGCATCTGGAGATTTATCGACCGTCTATATTTTTTGCGAATACATAGTAGATGCGTATTTTTTTGATCTTGTGTGGTTACTGCAATTTTCAATTAATCATGATGTAATTAACTGTATCATCTCACGCGAACATTTTTATCCGTCGAAGTTTACATATTTATTTTTTATCCGATATTGCAAAAATGAAATATTTATTCTCTTAACTCAGATGACTCAGCCAGATCAGCTGCTTTGCGCAACATGACTTGAATGACCAACCCAACTGTGATAACAAAGTAATGTAATCGAGTTATCTATGATAACTAGCGTTATGAAAACTGTCGCGAAAGCGATAGTGAGTCGTGATCGAAAAGTTGCTAAGTAATATTTTATTCACAGACGTTGTAAAAATTTTACAGTGTTAGACCCTGCAAAGAAATTTTTTTTTCGTTTGTTGTATTTTATACAATAAAATAACAAAATAAATTATTTGTTAATGTATATTTTATAAAGTTTTTTTATTAATATATTTATCTTATCTATCTTTAATTAAAATTACGTAATAGTAATATATTATGATATATTTAATTTCTAATAAACTATGAAATTTAGCAATGTGTAACTGTAGATATATAGTAAATATAAGTAAAAGTTTTTAAAACGTCTTGAATGTAATTATGAAATTGAATAGCAATGTATATAATATTTATTTTTGTTTCAGTATAAGCATTTATAGAAAATATAGCACAATGGTTCGACAACTGTTTTTGGGTCCATTGATTCAAACAAATGATAAAGAAGAATTAATTATTAAGGAGAACGTTGCTGTACTTGTTGATAATGGCAAAGTATTTAATGATTTAATTTTACATACACATTTATATATATGTATAGCTTATTTAAAATAAAAAATATATTAATTACCTATGCAATATTCAGATTATTTTGATTTTGGACAATCAAACGGATCAGTTCGAACGGGAAGTTTATGAGGAAGTAGTTTTATCGCATGGTCAGTTTATGATGCCTGGATTTATCGATGCCCATACTCATGCAGTACAGTTTCCAAATCTTGGACTGGGTTACAACAAGGATCTTTTGGATTGGTTGGAAATTTATACCTTCCCGCTGGAGAAAGAGTATAGTGATATGGAATTTGCAGAGCGAGTATTTGAAGCAGTTGTGGTGCGTAAACAATTCTATCCAAGATTACACCATAAAATGTATAATTATTTCAGATATTCTTCGTTATGTCTAATATGCATGTCGTTGCAGAAACGAACCATCAAAATGGGCACAACAACGGCATGTTATTTTGCATCTTTATATGCCGATGTGTGTACAATTCTTGCGCAAAAAACTGCTGAATTGGGTCAACGAGCTTTCATCGGAAAAGTGAACATGAACGCTCCGCGTGACGATGGATATTGCGAAAGCACCTTGGCGTCAGTTATAGACACCATAGATTTCATAAAGTCTATTGAGATAATAAAGGTAAATGCAAACTTGTATTTTATTATCTGTAACATTGTGACAAGATAACTCTTCAATTATAGACAGATAATTTTATGTCACAATTAATCACAGAAAAATATTGCTCCAAACTTGTTACAGAATCCACTTGTAAAGCCGATCATCACACCAAGATTCGCACTGAGCTGCGACATGGAATTAATGCAAAAGCTGGCAGAGATCGCTAAGACGAAAGACATACATATACAGGTATTTTAATTTATTGAACTTGTTTAATATCATGTCAGCAATGTACAGCTGTTATTATAAATATAAAGTGTTCCTCATTGTCCGTAGAGTCATGTTTCTGAAAATAAGGATGAGATAATAGCAGTGAAACAAGCTTTTCCACATCTACCTTCGTACACGGCTGTTTATGATGCTGCTGGTCTTCTTACCAATAAGGTATAATACTTCATTTTCTTAACTTATTAAAGAGCAAATTGAAACAATTGAAAGTCACATATAACGTATATCTGGTTCTTTTTTACAGACAATATTAGCGCACGGAGTCTATCTTGAAGATAGCGAACTTGCCATTCTTAAAGAACGAGGAACAGCTGTAATTCATTGCCCCTCTTCAAATATAAATCTGAAAAGCGGGCTTTGCGATGTGCGAAGGTTAAAGGCTAACGGTATCAAAGTCGGACTTGGAACAGGTGCCATAAAAGTTTTTTTTATAGAAGTTTTACGATTTGGATATTTAATTTAATATCTAAACTTTGAATTTCAATTAATATATATGACGTAATATGTTCATTATATAATTAAAAATGAATGTCTTCTTAGATGTTTCGGGTGCATCTAGTTACAGTATGTTGAATGAGATGAGATCGGTTTTACAAGTATCAAATTGTTTATCTTTGACGAGAGACAATTATACACCACTTAGTTACAAAGATGTCTTTCATATGGCAACATTGGGAGGTGCTAAAGGTAAAATTGGTCATTGTACATTAGAAATGCTCTTTATATCCATGTACAAAAATCTTTACAATTGTATTAACATATTGATTGTGTTTAGCACTCGCAATTGATGACAAAGTCGGTAATTTGATGCCAGGCAAAGAATTCGATGCTCTCATCGTTGACGTGAACGCAAAAGACAGTTTGTTGGATAATTTTAAAGAATATACACTCGAAGAGAATTTCCAAAGATTTATATATGCCGGTGATGAACGTAATATAGTATCAGTATATGTAAAAGGTAAAAAAGTGAAATAAGAACTTTCTTATTTTTACAATATTTTTATTTACAAGATTTATAAGCTGATAGATAAAAAACTTCTATTTTCGTACATTATTATTTCTGTATTGTTTGTACAGTGTAACAAATTTATAAATTGTTATATTCAATGAATAAATGATTGAAAAAAAATCTGTTTTTTTACTTCTCTTCCAGAAACATTATTTTTTACTTTAAAATTATATTTTCATTTGCATATTTTGGAATAATAGAATATTTCTCTGAATCTTTTTTAATGAACATTAAATATATTTTATTTACTTTTTTATCTCTTCTGTTTTGAATATTATTTTATGATTATCTTAATAGTTTGATAAATTTTTGTTTTGTATGTCTGAAATGTCGAACGCGTACTGGATAAGAACGCGCCATTTTTTTAAATGTCGGATATTATGTCATGTAAGAGGCGCCATCTCGAAGGCAGATTAACTTCTTGTTTCCACCTCATGTTTCCGGTTCTTCTGTGATTTTCGAGGAAAAGGAAGGAAGTAACGTGAGTATATTTCAGAAAGTTCTCAATTTTTCTATCATTTTTGCATATTTTTCGTTCATCTGTATGAGACATTAAAACTATGGATATTGTTATATGAATAATTTCGTCGTATTTCTTAATATTTCATCAAATGCCGTATGTCGGCGTCGCCCGCTTAGGATTACCCAGGCTTGCCATTGCAAGTTCCAATATCAAAAATATGTGCACAGTAATTATCAATTTTTAATAAGATTGAAATCTAGGATATATTATAGATTACATCTCTGATCAAATTTATCATCAATTGTTTAATCGCAGAATGGCGGACGCTGCTCCAGCCGCACGCGGTGGCTTTCGTGGAGGTTTTGGTTCTCGCGGAGCGGGTGATCGCGGAGGACTGAGAGGTCGAGGTAGAGGTAGAGGCAGAGGACGCGGCCGTGGACGTGGCAAGGAGGATAGCAAAGAATGGGTCCCTGTTACCAAGCTGGGTCGTCTAGTCAGAGATGGCAAGATTCAGTCTCTCGAGCACATCTACTTGTTTTCCTTACCCATTAAGGAGTACGAAATCATCGATAAATTCCTTGGACCAGATCTAAAGGACGAGGTTCTAAAAATCATGCCAGTACAGAAGCAGACACGTGCCGGTCAACGTACACGTTTCAAGGTAAACTTTCTTTTCTTTTTTTCAAGATCCAGTTCTAGCAATGTAAGATAAATTTTAACTAACTTCCTGTTTATCTTCGTCTAATTTTAAGAATTAGAAAAAGATAAAGAGTAAATTGAGCTAATCAAAAAAGTAATCAGAATGTAAAACTAGAGAGACAAGACTATTTAAAATATAATATTTTATAGGCTTTCGTTGCCATCGGAGACAGCAATGGACATATTGGACTGGGAGTAAAATGCTCCAAGGAAGTAGCCACTGCGATTCGCGGTGCTATTATTTTGGCTAAGCTGTCCGTTGTACCAGTTCGACGCGGATATTGGGGTAACAAGATCGGCAAGCCGCACACGGTGCCTTGCAAGGTAACCGGCAAGTGCGGTTCTGTGCAGGTGCGTCTAATACCTGCACCCAGAGGTACCGGCATTGTATCCGCCCCAGTTCCCAAGAAGCTTCTTCAGATGGCTGGTATCGAGGACTGCTATACCTCAGCTAGAGGATCAACCTGCACACTCGGTAACTTCGCCAAGGCCACTTATGCTGCGATCGCCAAGACTTACGCGTATCTGACGCCTGACTTGTGGAAGGAGCAAGCTCTGGCTAAGGCACCGTATCAAGAATTCGCTGATTATCTGTCTAAGACTCACAAAGGAGGCGCGAGAGCAGCCGAAGTTGTCTAAATAAACATCTAGCCCCCATGAAAGCGCTTTGAAAAATTGTAAAACAATTCTTATTTTTTTTCCCTTCCAATCTCTTGCCTCTTAGGAACCTAACACTTCCTATTCTCCTTCATTTCGTTGAGCAAAATAGACAATAGATGCTGGAACTACAATCAAATGTAGCATGTATCATCACAGAATATGTTGATATATATACAATTAACACTAAAATGGCCAATGGTGCCATTATGGCTCCGTTAATTATTTTAATTTTTTTTTATCATAATACAGAATATTAAGAATACGAAAATATATATATATAATATAAATAGTATCAAAATAACTTTCCTAACTGAAAACAAAAATAGGAAATTATGAAATTGCTGTCTGATAATTTTAGCGAAATATCAATTGTTTTAATGTTAACTATTTAGTATATTACATATATATACATATAATTAATGAAAACCATCCAAGCTTTTTAATTATTCAATTTGTTTTATTGAGAAGCTTAAACTCTATGCCTTTAACACACAAATTTTTTAATTCTTGATTAATAAAAGTTTTAAAAACTTATTTGTAATATATTAGAAATCTAAAAAAGAGAATGATACAGTGTTACGTAGTATCCATAGTATCTTCTTTCGTGGCTTTATGTTTTTCATAGGCATTATTAAACGTCTCGATCGTGTGATCACACATTCTCTCAAGATCCTGAAGGCCTCGTTTCAATACTTGGATCACATTTTCACCGGTTGTTTGGATGTTCAAGTGCATCCTCTTCTCTGCAGGATGCGGCACAGTGTGGCCGCATATTTTCACGCCCGGACTGCAAGAGAGATTAGAAGAATTAAAATACAATATTCCATGATTAAACTACATTCATCAATTTTAAATGATACGTACTATTCATTTATCACAGAAGCGAGCGCATTTCCCAAGGTATGGCCCTCGTCCACGAAGACAAAAGTCCCGTACGTTTCCCCGTGATTCCCCGGCAACTACATTTACGATAAACAATTGAATAAATTTGGGTTTAACTTTCCCACCGTCAATTAATATTATTAATTATCATATTACCCTCGAGAGACGTTTCGCCATCGCTATCAGTGCCTCTTTATATGCGCGGTTTGAGCCACGCTTTCAGTATCCTAACCTAAGCTGACTAAAGAAATTGATGTCTCGCACGAGTTCGATAACATTAACTCGGGTAGGTTATATTTTCGTAAACATAGTTGTGATTTCCTCGAAAGTACGGCTCTTGCACGTTCGTACCGTCTGTCTCTTACGAATACTTGTAACAGCTGATAATTTTCGCACCCCAGTTTCTTCTGTCATTTGACATACCTTTATTTTAATCGGCTTGATTTAAATTTAACCTAAATTTGTAGCGATCTTGTGATTCCTGGATACGTTTCATCGATTCGACATCCCGATGAGTCTAAGACGATGGATCTGCGATGTCATCGTTCAGCGGAACGTGCGATTTCAAGGCGCCGTCGTCAGTCGTTTCCTCGCCACGGAGGCGAAGGACGAGATCGTCGATATAACTACCGCTGACGAGCAGCCAATATACTCGAACGAGCTCCAGTACGAGGAGCTCGCCAAGAAGCGAAACAAGTCTCGGTTGAATCTGCACGATAGGAATATACTTATGGGCAAGCCTCCCTACGAGCAGCCTATGCAATGGTATCATAATACAACAAGATACAAGAAGCGCATGCTAGGTAGATATGGATTCGAGGGCAACAAGGAACCAGCAGGGTTTGCGTGGCCTACACCAAAAGAGGTCAAGATCCTTCAGGAGTACGAGAGAGTCGCCTTCCCATTATCCCTCCAAGAGAGATGGAAGAAGCTGGAGGAAGAAAAACGGATAAAGGCTGAGAAAGTTAAAGCAAGGCATGTCTTTATCAGTTTTATCACTGGTTGCGTTCATAAAAAGCTTTGCAATTTTTGTAGAATTTTTTAATATGATTAATCTTGCCCTTAGTTCCTTATTGGACCTAAATGTGTAAACCAATTATATTAAAGAATTTTACAATAGTTGCAAAAAGATGCTTTCTCTGCTGAACGCAATTACTGTTGGATGAAAGTTTACAATTTTGGAATATTAATGCATATTAATGCATGATATGTTTGCAGGGAAGCTGAAATAGCCGAAAAATTATCGAAGGTGGACCAATGGACTGCCGAGTTGAACGCAAGGGTCGCTAAGAAGAAAACCGAATTGGAGGCTGCCAGGTTGCATAAGGAGCGTATGGTGGAGGAGATCAGGAAACATTTTGGCTTCAAGATCTCGCCTAGTGACGAGAGATTTAAGACGATGATGGAACAAAAAGAGAAGGAGGAAAGGAAGAAAAAGAAGGAAGCTAAGAAGAAGGCGAAGGAGGAAAAATTAAAGACCATGATCCAAAAAAAAAATCAAGACCAAGAAACCGATTTAACGAAACCTGTAGAATAGTTACGTTTTCTTTCACAAAGTATAATATAAAACGTTTTAATTGTATAGCTAATAAATTTATAATTCATTAGAGTTCTCTTTTAGATGCTTATTTCGAGGCTGAACGTACAGCCAATATGATTAAACCACGTAACATTTTTCTTTACATTTTATTTAAGCAATCAGCGTTCTCATATCTCAACGCTAGACATCGCGAAGTGAACTTGGTTTTGATCAAAAGATATCCAAATGCCTTTCTCTGCTTTATATTATTAGAAGTTTATCTTTATAGTAGAAATTTTCCAACGGGCACTTCACGCTCTGGCGAGAATATAATATAAATCTCAGGGACAATATACACTTACGTAATAATAAATATCATACTTTTTTTACTAATACAAAAACATTACACACTGTTTCGCAAAAGACTAGAAGAAATTCTAATGCATAGTTGATAAATAATGCTTCTCTTTAAGACACTTAACCAGGCACACATTGGACGATATGTAATTACGTTGTTTATTTTCTGATCTCACTCCGATCATGTTAAAATCCTTCGGTGATTATCGCAATTATCAAACCCTCGAACTATGTTGCATTTGAGAGACAAGATTTCCTCATTTGTACCGTGCTTGACTCGTTATCCATTCATTAAGCATATCAATTAACTGGTTCAATTAAGCTTCTAGTTAATCTAGCAGCCGCATCGAATAAAATGATCGAACATTCCACGTCATTGTGAAAAATTTCTCGAGTAAGATCAGCTTCTCGTCATCGTACAGTCCTCGTTGGCCCGATCGCTGTTGACAAGCGATTTTCTCTGCGAGTTTTCCCGCTCCGAGACGGTCTTCTCAGTTTCACCAACTTCGCGAACCGGCTGGTTGTCATACGACCGCGCGTTCTGTATCTGAAGTTCGTCAATCACAATAAGACGTACTTTGTTGCCTTCTGTGTGTCAGGCGGATTGCAACTGCGACGGCGACGTCAATTCATAAAACTGGAAGCTGAGCTCCTCGCCGAAGAGATTTTCCGATCCTATAATCTCGGGATCAACCATGTTTAATCCCAGGATAGTCGGATCCGTGACTAGATATCCCTCGCTTACGAGTCCACATTCCTCAGCGACGACCTCCTTGGATATCGGGTTCAGAAAGTCTGCAATAAATTTCACAATTCATCAAATTTTGTTTCGCCAATGCCGAGTCGATCTCTTTCTGAAAGAAACATTGATTACAATGTCCTCACCACTTTCCTTGAAGGAGCATTGAAGCGAATCCGTTTGTTGCTCCGTTGTCTGCTCGTTCTGTTGACCTGCCTCAGAATCGTTCACCATGGGAACTAAATACTGCACTTCCACTTGACGTTTTATCCCGTTGAGTATTTGCTCGGCAGAATGCTCGAGCGTCACGGAATTCAGTATATCGTCCGCATCCTCCTCGGAATTCGGCTGCGTGATGCTCGCCGTCGCAGCCTCCACCTCGTCCATGATTTGGCTGTAATGTTAAGACGTATGTTCAGTATAATATGAAGAAATAGTTTTACAAAACTTAACGAGGAATAGACATTTACCTAATAATCTTGTTACTCCGGGATTCTTCAGATTCATTTTGCGCTACTTGTGTTTGTGTAGTATTTGTCAGACTAACGGGCAATGGACGAGGTCTGTAATCGCCACGATTCGCGATCGCCCAAAGGTGACCTGCTCCATGAGTCGCCTTCGATCCTTTCCTGAAGTGCGGATTTATCGAGAGATTGTGCCGAACGGAGTTCTTCCAACGATCATCGTTGCTTTTATAGTAAGGAAAATGCTCGCTGAAAACGACGAAAAAGCATCCTTTCGATTTTAATTACACAAATTAAGTTACACGATTTATATTTTCATTCCAAATAAAAGTTTTTTGTATAATTCAATAAAGTGCTTGCAAGAGCTACTATGATCATTTTACATAGGCAAATCGACGGGAACATAATTAAGGATAATACACACAAAAACGCACGGTAATTTGCGTCCCTACGAAACTAATTTCCTTCACCTGCTCGCAGCGATGTCACGGTGCGTTACGCACCCCCTCTTTGCGATTAATTTCATGAGTTTTGGTGGAGAACGAGAAACATTTAAGCCAAGGGTGCATTTGAAATGCTAAAAGGTGCATTTACTTGCTCCACTGATCACGATGATCGCAATGAATGTTGTCACTTATGCCAACAGTTTAATGAATCTGTTTCTAAGTCATATTTGTGTATCAGTGTAATAAAAATAATATTTTTAACACACACCCACATTACCTATGATTTCAAGATGCAACTATAAGATATGCTTTAATATGATTGATTTTCTCCTCGCAACTTTAAATTTATAAATCATGTTATTATCATATAAATCATATACTAAAAAAAATGATGTATCAACAGCATTATCTTAATTGAAAATAATTTTGTTAATTAAATAACACCATTAATGAAACAAATATTTATGCTCTTGTTTTAATAAAATTTCATTTATTTCATTAATACTATTGTTAAATCAACAAGATTATTTTCAATTAAAATAATGCTGTTGAAATAACATTATATTTTTTCAGTGTATTAAAAAATTTTATAATAGTTGCAAAGTTGCTCTTTCAGCCATTGATAGTTTTGGATAACGCAAAAAAAACGTGAAATTAAGATTATGATTTTTAATATTATACATGTACGTAGTATATTTATAGGTCTGCCTCTGTGCAGAGTAACCGGAGATATTTCTTTTGACTCGTTTGTTTGAGCGGCTCTACGCGGTTGAACCTGAATGATCTATATATGTGTTTTCCAAGGAGCTCGAACAGCGATCGAACAGGTGAAGGCACAGGAGCAGTAAATTGTGCGCATTCGTGTTGAGGGCTGCAACGAAGGATAGCTGAAGGGTGAGGAGTTAGTGCCAGGTGGTGCCAAGCAATGGGGGCAGTGGTACCAATGGGTACCATCTACAAGTAACCCACCCCCGTCGACCCACCCCCAACCAACGGGCCACGTTCGTGTAAATTCGTAGAAAACCCCTTGCGCGTCTAATACGCAACTAAGAAAGATACTCCGTCCGTCTCGAATATAACTTGTAAATATTTTTCTCTCGTAGGATCAATTTATCAGTTTTAATCAATGGAATGTTTTATTTTAATTTGTGATTCCGTTTAAAATTAAAGAATTAAAAAATATATAAGAATAAACTGGAAGAAATATATATTTTAATTAGTATATGTTTAATAAAATATCTAATTGAAAAGCTATGAAGGAAAAATTGTAGAGAAAGTATGCGAAGCTTATAAGCACGCCGGTCATGGACAATATTTTTGGCAAGGAGATGCAACATAGAAGCAAATAACAAGTTAAAGTTTTGGCTAACAACAGTAATAAATTTTCTGCTAACTTACGAGATCCACTGGTAAATCGCGGAAACAGTGAGCTCGCCTCTTTCTTGTAGCGCGTGCTCTATTAATTCCGTATAGGTAAAGGGTGGTTTTTTTGGCCCATTGAATCGCGTAGACGAGAAATTTCGGCTGTCGCTTCCGTTGGCGGGATAAGTCGCCTGGTTTACGTCCTGTCGATACGTCGACGAATTTTCGTGACTGCCATATCCTCTCTTAATGTCGTTGACGTAATTGGAGCCATGCGACCTTCCGTTCGGTTTATTCTTATTGCCTGAAAATGCGCAATTAGCCGCGGAACCGCAGATTCTATTAACGGAATATACACATTTTTTAAATTCGTAATTAAATAATTAAATTTTTGAAGACTATTCCTGGTGAAAAAGTTTCTCAAAATTTTCGTATGGATAAGGAACACTTTTCAAAAAAACTGAGAAAGTCTACATCTTTTCTTAAACCTTCTCATATATATGAATTCTGGAATATTTTAAAATTTCTAAAATTTTTCTATAATTTGTAAAAAAATATGTTTTTAAATTTTATAAGATTTTGTCAGAAATCATAGAATGAGAAATCTTAGAATATTTCAGAATGCACATATATAAAGATTTCTAAAAAAGACGTATAAATTTTCTGTATAAAAAAATCTGAAAAACTTTCTAAAAAATTATAAAATTATTCAGAAATTCTGAAAAATTTGGAAACTTATGTAAAAATTCTGAAAAGAATTTTCATCCTGGATGACATCGTTTACTATCGTTTCGAAAATAGTCGCAAGCAGGAAGTTCGCGATTCGTTTTATTGATCGATCTAAAAAGAGAATTTTTTTAAAGAATATATATATATATATAAGAATTTTATTTAGTTCCAACTTCATTTAATTTAAATAAAGATTTAATAAAGTATGTTAGAACTAAATAAAATTTCTAGTTCTAACACCGAAACATATGACATCTTATCTGCTTTCATCTCTTTATCTTCTTTATCTTTCTTTAACTTTAATATTCATAATTCAGATATTCAGAATTCATTCAATAATATTTGAAAGCGTTAATTCAACCATTTTGCATTTTTCTTACCACAATAATTGTTCTTCGTTGTCGCGGTGGGTCCCATAGTACATCTATCATCCGCGGCTTCGATGAACGAGTCCAGTTTGAAGTCCAACAACCACGACAGATTTCCATTCTCCTGATCCTCGAATTGCTGTTGCTGTTGCTGCTGTTGTTGATTATTGCTTGTCGTTCCCTTATTTTGTTGCGTGTTCAGATTAGCAAGCGAGATTACGGGGGCGGCGACCGGTTCCCAATAATTCATCGATACTGCTGGCTGATAATGAAGCTCTTCAATATAGGTTTCTGTAGGATGACGTTCGGCACATCCGGATGTGTTTGACGAGGATGAGGTTGATGATACTGAAGACGACGAGGAAGACGAGGTCACAAGGACGTCCACATTCTGCTGTTGCTCCAGCTCCGACATGGTCGTCCAGGTGCAGTTTGTGCCATCCACCAGCAACACTTCCAGATGCGCCACTTGCGATTCCTCGACGATCTCCTGGGCAGACATCGGAGAGAAGAATGCCGCCGCGTTGGCGATGATGTCGTTCGATGTAGTTTCCAGTTCCACCGGCGTCTCCAGTTCCTCGAGATAATGTTTGCGACTCGTCTGGCGGACCTCATTGCAGAAGCTGTCGATGTCCAACTCTTCGAAGACCTTTCGTTTAGATCCGTCGACCTCCAGGTCGTCGAAGATCTTCCGTTTGGCGGAGGCACAGCACTGACTCTCGGTGACCTCGCCAGCAGTTCCTGACGATGGCCCGATCATCTTGTCGGCCTTTGAGCTGCTGGCAAATACAAATCAGCGGATAGGCCTATCAAAAATAAGTAGATAAACAAAAGGAATTTATAGGGTAGAGCAGGGTTTTTTGTTCATTTCTCGCGATAATACTTATGTTTCTGAACAGAACAGATTAATTATTTAAAGATAATTATGTTTGTGCCCTCAAGGAGCAATGACGAATGTATAATGTAATTATAAGCATGTCACTGCAAAAAGATATTGTTTGCTATCGTAAATTTTAAATAGTATTATTTTAAAGATGAAACTCTCTCTCTCTCTCTCTCTCTGACACACAGAATAGCCATGCTCTATCCTATAAACAAAAGGAAAAAGCAGAAACTTTAACTAGTAAAACCAAAAATAAAAAACTAAATTTCTAAGATAAAATATTAAAAATTGAAATTAAAATCTATGGTTTCAGAATTTAAATTTACAAAATGTATAAATTCCCATTAATGAAAATGACTCCTTCTTTAATCTACTTACTTTTTGCAAAATAAAAAATAACGAGCAGCAAAGTTAGCTCATGCGTTAAATAATTTTCCATTCGGAAGATAATTATTCGTATTAGACGTTTGTGTGCAATATTAGCTACAAGCTAAAAACAAGCGTGATGTACATTATAAAGTATTCCTCTCGGGCGCATCCTGTTGGTTATGCAGAGCTTATTTTGCGACACACGAATTCATAAACATCGCCGTGTGAAAAACGCGAAAATGTCTCATACCTTGCTCCCGTTTGCTGTGTTTATTCGTTTTTTTTTTTTTGCGCGAGGTGCCCTGAAATATTCCACGTTCTTTTATCTCGACCGAATTCGACGCGAGATCATCGTCGAAGACTAGGAATGCGCGAAAAAACTTTCAGTTCGTTAACTCCGTTATTTTTCGTTTCGACTTCAGACACGCTCCGTCATACCGCGATTCATGCGCGGCTTTCCGCCCCGCGTTCGCCGTGCACGTCCAGCGCGGGACACACTTCTGAAATGAACCGTCCGATTATTTTTTTTCTCCCCGTATCGTCGTGATCGAGCGCCCGTGAAACGCGTCCGTCACATCACACAGCCGTGTGCGCGCCGCTCGTTTGTCTCGAACGTCGGCTGTCCCGCGCCACGCGCGCTGCGCATGCGCACTTGCCACGATTAATGGCCGCAGCACAGACTCTTGCATAACGCATAACACGTAATGCATAAGAAAATGTACCAATCAAAGCCCTCCGTTTCCTTCCTTTCCATGAAATAAAGAATTCTGATTGATTGAATTTCTTATGCATTACATGTTATGCGTTATGAAAGAGTCTGTGCTCCCCGCTTTAAGGCCGCAGCACAGACTCTTGCATAACGCATAACACGTAATGCATAAGAAAATGTACCAATCAAAGCCCTCCGTTTCCTTCCTTTCCATGAAATAAAGAATTCTGATTGATTGAATTTCTTATGCATTACATGTTATGCGTTATGAAAGAGTCTGTGCTCCCCGCTTTAAGGCTGCGTTCCGTTTCATGCATCACGCGCATGAAGCATCTTTTATCCTTGTTATTCATCGAATGTTAAACAAGGATAAATGATGCATTATGCGCATCATGCGAGAAACGGAACGCAGCCTTAATACAGTCGCGGGCAAAAGCAGCCGTCTAGTGCCGGACGATCGAACTGCACCCGAGCTTTCCCCACCATTGGCTGCGTTCAACAGAGAAAACTAATCAGTTAAGGGTCACTGGCTACGTTTACACCGTGCATTTAGGCCGCGACCTATACAATAGATGTCCTTGTTTATCCTGTAGGTTAAACAAAGACATCTATCGTATAGGTCGCGGACTAAGCTCAAGGTGTAAACGTAGCCACTGTCACCAAGCTCAGTTGATCTAACTAGGCCAGTTAGTCCATCGGAATTGACCAATCACATTTGTCATTTTGTTTGAAGAATTGACAGATTGGTCAATTCCGATGGATTAATTGGCCCAGTTAAGTTAACTGAGCTTAGTGACAGTGGCCCTTAGGCCGGAATCAGAGGCATTAAAAATTGAGATTGAAGATTGAAAGATTGAAATTTGACCAATCAATAGGAGCTAAAATTCCTTTGCCCTCATTGGTCAAATTTCAATCTTCAATCTTCGATCTCAATCTTCAATGCGTAGTCTGATTCCGGCCTTATACGTTTTATACGTAGGAAATGTAAAAAATCTTTCGCAGCGTTAAATTTCCAACCCTGCCTTCGAGTATCATTTTGTCTTCATTTAATATTCGGTGAACAACAAAGACAAAATGATACTCGAAGGCACTCGGGTAGTATTTTCGAACGCAGTCCATGACTCTTGTCACGTTTTCCGTCCAGCGATTGGCCGATCGTTCGAATAGGTGCAGGCACGGTGCAGATGCAGTTGCATTCGTGAGACCCGTTTTACTGAACTTTTGTATTTTTCATTTTTTTTCCTTTTCCTGAAGTATTTTGTTAATAGAATTATTATCTTTTTTATTATTACGTAAGAAGAACGATTAGATTAAGGATGAATTGTATAATTATAAATTTTGCTTTAAATAATTCCGACAAGTGAATTATTTAATGATTAACGGAATTTTATTGAGGTGGAATATGACTTTAAAATATTCATATATATTAACAGTAATTTATGTATTTAAAAATAAATAAATTTCTGTTAGTTTTTTTATTAGATTTCTTAACTAAGGAACTATTTCTTTTGATTTTATATTTATTTCTCGTAAAATAAGATAATATAATAAAAGTAAGGATGTGTATAACTTCGCATATTAAAAATTATTGCGTACCGGAATGGGACGGCGTTTTTGTTCTTGACTGTATGCGATGATGTATGTGATATCTGAGAGATGCAAATTATAAGTTTTTTTTTTCTGGACATCGCATCTACATATTACGTTTTAAAACGAACTGATAAATTTAATACGCAATGAAAACAACGAGAAGTTTTTCGGAGTTTCTTTCGGAGCTATTATTTGAAAGAAAGAGATATCAAGAAGGAATTTAAAGTGGGATAAGCATCCTTAGAAAGAAGATGGAGAAAACTTTCCATGTTGTTAAAATTCACGCTATCTCGACATCTGTGAATTAATTCATTTTCAAGAAAAGCTCCCATTTTCTTTGACAAGGTCAAGGTAACGCGCACGACCGCAAAAGGCTGATTATCGCTTATCGTTTTTGCACGGACTGTCGCGCGAAAAATATTATTTTTCATACGGAGTATACTGCGTAGGGGCGCAACATTGACTCGCGGGGCCTCGTCTGAAATAACTCGAGTAACGAGGTGAACAGATAGGAAGGCGATCAAGCATCGTGAATTGGAAAAAGAAATAAAAGATCGGGAATTATAAGAGACATCGAAATAAATTTGAATTTTCTAGAACCGAGCGAGACCGACAAGGCGAAAGATTGCGATGATATTCGCTTATTTTCAAGCCTTTCGTTGCGCGTTTGATGATATATCAAGGCATTTTTTATATTAATCTTTAAAATTATTTCAGGTACGATCTCAAGATCTGTTACATGGTGGTTTTGTTGGAATCATAAATATAAACAATGATCTTAAATTTAAATGTATAAAATTTATAATAATAAATTAATCTCAAGTACGAATATATAAAATACAAAAAAATGTTACGCACAGGTCTGGACAAAAGAGCCACTATCTCGAAAACGGTGAGAGATACGATAAAATTCCACAGGACTATTTCGATTCTTCTCGAGAAGATCTATGAAAAAGGTCCTGTGCGTCGAAGCCATATCTATCACCATTATCGAGAAAACGATCCCAACGTCTACTAGACCTATGCATAATTTTTTTTGTAAAAGAGTGTAGAATATTAGACTACAAAAATACCCTTCCAAAACTGATAGATAGCCCTTAGGTAGACAATGAGAGAGGGAAGAGAAACGAAAGTAACGAATGACCTGTAGTCTCACGACGAGAGGAAAGGGGAGGGCTCAATGGAAGGATCCAGAATTTGACGGCTCTGGACTGGGTACCATGGATATGCACAGTACCGATACGGACCGACTGAGTGCAGTGTGGGAATAAAGTGACGCATGCGCACTGAACAAACGCTATGACTGCTCAGTAATGTATATATCTGGGTAAGATCTGAGGTATCGTTAGGCCCCTAGCAAGGAAGGAAATATGAAGGGAGTTACAAAGAGAAAAAAGTTCCTTTAAACAAATAGAATAAATAGTTAATACAAATAATAATAAAGAAATGTATTTGTTTGTTATTTTTTACGTCTGCAGCTGATTTATTACGTGAATACCAACATTCGTTGCGAGAGTAAGGAAAACTGCAGAAAACCTTACTAGTATTCCAACAAAAACATTGTACATAAAATATATAAAACATGTGAACTTTACCTCTCGCAAAAAATGCACGAAAATTCGTAAAGACTTAGGCCGGTATTCATAGTCAGATCTTATATTCAAGACCGTCTTAAGTACAGTCTTAAGAAGTCATGAATCAATCAGAAGGCCGTATTAGCGACTTAAGACATTACTTAAGACGGTCTTAAAATAAGAACCGACTACGAATACCGGCCTTAGAGCCCTTTACGGGGCATGGCCGGCACGGGCACCTAACGGCTAACTGTCGCAGATACGGCTGTGAAAGCAGCCGACACGCGACTGTGACGTCAGCTTACGCATGCGCATGAACATTCCCATGCGAGAATAATTCCCACACTGCCCATCACTACTCGGACTGAGTGTCGCTTGGGAGAATGACATTTAAAATCCGTGACTGAGATTACGACGACGACGACGACGACGACGACGAAGGAGAGGAGGTGGAAAAATAAACAGAGCAGACAGGGTTGACAGTTCGACGTTGACAGTCCGGGGCACATGGACATTGAGCACCGTTCAAGTTGAGTGTCGTTCAAGAAGCAGCGATCATGGATCGCAACAACGATCTGGACCAACACTTGCTGCACCAGTTCAGCTGCCTAGGCACTACAGACAAAGATGACCTAGTGAAGCAGCTGCAGAAGCTACTGGCGGACAGCCATCTGAACGAGACCACAGCTGCGTTCTTTCTTGACATGAACAACTGGTAAACGGACATTCCCCCTATCGGGACGCCACTTTGCCGTCCGTGTACGCTGCCCACGCACATAACCTTGCATCGCCATGTTTACCCCCCGCAGGGATATTTTTTCTCGAACCTCTCTGAAAGGCCTCTTTCCTTTTTTTTTTTTCAAATTCGAAGAGTAATTCGTCGAGTATTGCGTCACGTTTTCTTTAAGCTTCTCTTTTTTTTCTCCTCAAGATGTTGTCCTGCTTTTATGAAAAATCTATGTCAAAATATTGCCAGTGTCCTATTTCAGAGTCTAATGATAATTTGTACTTTGTGCTCTTTTAGTCTGCAATTTAAGTGACGCATACATAACAATGTTTTTGTATTTTGAAGATAAAAAGACCATTTTTTAAATGGAAGGCACAGCTAAAAAAAATTTCAGTAGCATTCAATGATGTTGGATAGTAAATTCTTAATTTACATTTAAATATTTAAACTAATTGTTGATTTAAAAATTAAAAGTACATGTAGATTTGTTATTCCAACCGTCAATTAAACCTTCAAACGAAAATTGTTTTACAACGCAATTTATGTTTCGATCGTAATGATCCTGTCCTTGCTTTTGTCTTCTAATTGTTTTCAAATAACAGAACAGCAGTCATAGAACAATTGTCATTGTTACATTAAGACAAATAAAACCCGAGTTGAAATCTTATCACTTAAATTTAGAAATATACTCGTCCACAAAAAAAGCGAGCCATTGTAACGTTACAGTAGTTTGTTTTTCTTGTGAGCAAGTATAGAATCTATTCCTTTTTGCTAGATATTATTGTAACATAAATTTTCTTCCAGGAATCTACAAGCAGCGATTTGCAGCTATATTGATTTTGGAAATCCCTTCAACACACCATGTATGACATTGATATGCGACAGTACGATCGGCGAGGGAGAAGCTGTGCCACCTAATACAAACTTTCAGAAGTCATGGCGCGTGCAGAACAGTGGTACCGAGGCATGGCCCAGTGGGATCCACCTGCAACATTCTAGTGGAGTGCTAATGGGCTGCGCGCGGATACCTGTTCCACCATTGGCCCCCAAAGAAACTACAGAATTAAGCGTAACGTTGAAAAGTCCGGCTGAAACCGGCGTGCATCAGAGTAAATGGAGAATGATGACGCCCAACGGTGTCTACTTTGGTGGTACATCCTGAATTCTATGCAGCTTTTCCGATAGAATGTGATATAGAAAAAGGATCAGCAAATTTAAGAGCGTATAATATTAAAAGAAATAAATAAATGTTCCGCTAATATAAATCGGTAAATCAACCTTGATCTACACATCTACACAATTTTAACTTAAGTATATTAATTGAGATGTGATCTGTACATAGCTTGTGATTCACAATTTACTTATCTTGTTGATATCTTAAAGTGACAATGTTAAGTACAAAAGAATATCATTGTTTATTTTTCTGTTTTAATTTCCAGAATAAAACTCGTCGATCCTTTTTCTAGATTGCTCTATTCGATTCAATTTCTATCGTATTTTATCGCAAAATTATCTTTTTGTCATAGATGTTATCTGGGTGATCATAACGGTGAATGAATGCGGCACATTAGCGGTCACTCAACAGTTGCATCAGTTAAGTACACAGTCCAATGATGTACAAATGTGCTAGCCTTTGACGTACAAAAGCCTCCATTAAGAAAGATTTGCGAAATATTGTACAAGACGTCTCTCGGAAATATCGGATCGTTGTGAAAATCGGCAGTTGTTTCTAAATTTTGTATAGTTGCTTTTTTCACAACGGAGCTTTTTACCGCTCCAGCACCTCGTAAAAAGAAATTGCTGTGTGTAGCAGATCCATTAATAAAAGATACAATAGATTTGACTGTACTCTTATCCTGATTAAAATATTCATAGGAGAGACGCGAAGCTAGTTTAAAATAAAACTGCATTTTATAACAAAAATATTCCTATATATAAAAGTTCTACCTGAATTCGTTAAAAATAATTTTTTTGTTTATAATGCAGGGGCGATTATTTCCAATATTTGTTCTTACTGATTTATATTTAAAAAATAACGAATTTATACATATTATATATAGAATTACATAATTTTGTTATACTTATAGAAGCTGCTTATATAAGGCCTTTTGCGATCGTCCATACTTGTCGATCATAATCGACCGGAAAAAAAATTAAATTTGTGTAATATAGAAGTTGGAATAGCGCGTGCGATAATTTTTATTGGAATAAAGAAACAAATCGTGATAGATTTGCATGAATTACATGTGATGGGTATTGAAGATATTGATATATACTTAAGGTACAAGATTTATTGAAAAAAAAAACATAATTTCTCTTAAAAAGTTAAGTTTAGTTAAATATACACATATATACATACTAGCATAGATGTATATGCGTATATAAGACTTTACTTATGATATATGTATAGCTAGGAGGTTACAATATAAGATATATAATTCATCACTTTTAACATCAGCCCATATACAAAGAGAAATCGAGCTATATTAAGGTAATTTTTTTATATCTCTCAAGTTAAAAATATTGTATAATTGAAAGTACTATCACTTAATCGGTGTATCTTAATACTGATCAGAAATACTATAGAAAGACTAGTTTCTAGTACGTTCGTTTATCAGTTAAGTACATTAAATAGGAAAATTAAGGACTGCATTCAGCAAAAAAAGTAGCTTTATAACTGTAAAATTCTTTAATATGATTGGTTATACATTTATGTCTAGTGAGAAACTAAGTATAAGAGGAATCAGTTCTATTAAAGAATCATACAATAGTTGTAAAGCTTCATTAATGAATGAGAACAAAATGTAAATTACATAGATCTTTCAGAGGATTAAGCTTATTCAAGCGAGGTAGTTCAGACAGCCATCTTCATGTAGAGTTTGGAGTATGGATTGTAATCTATCAATTTGAAATCCTCGGCAATGAAATCATCAATATCTTTAACTTCTCTAATTATCTTTAATTTTGGAAACTCGCGCGGTTCGCGTTTTACCTGTTCCTTAAGGGCGCTTATATGGTTGACGTAGACGTGGCAGTCTCCCATTGTATGTACAAATTCTCCTGGCTAAAAATAAAAGGAAATAAAAAATAGAACGAGATCTGTCTCGAATTTGAGTGCGGAGTATCGATCCTCACCTTCAATCCAGTAACATGAGCGATCATGTAAGTCAGCAAAGAATACGACGCTATGTTAAACGGCACTCCTAAACCCATGTCTGCGCTTCTTTGATAAAGCTGCGTGGACAATTCTCCGTTATTTACATAAAATTGTACAAAAACATGACACGGCGGCAATGCCATCTTTGAAATATCAACCGGATTCCAGGCTGACATTATAATACGTCTGTCCTCAGGAGAATGCTTTATTTTGTGAATGACTTCTTTCAATTGGTCTATTCCTAGAATAAATACGCAGTTAAATTTCAATCACACTTTTCTGTGTTGAACAAATATATGAAAAGGAGAAGAATTCTAGGTAATTTATTTTAAAGAATACTTTTATCAAAAATACCTTGTCCTGTGTAATCCGTGTACATGTTTTTGTATTCAGCACCAAAGTACCGCCACTGAAAACCGTAGACAGGTCCCAAATCACCCTCCTCTCTATCAGTGAAGCCACAGGAATTCAAGAAAGCCCGTGAACCATTTTCATCCCAAATGTGAATACCCTTATTCGACAATTCTTTGGAATTTGTCGATCCTTTGATAAACCACAATAGTTCTTCAACCACTGCTCGCCAGAACACTTGTTTAGTTGTCAGTAATGGAAAAACACCTATAATCGAATAAGCAAAGTGTTAACAATATGCCATCAGATTCAAAGATAATATTGTGGTAAACTGGCGTTAACTGCATCTATATTAAATGTTTTGTCAGTAAATTCTACTTGATTTCTGTAGTCAATCTACCATTATATTCCCTTACATTTCTACTATATATTTTGGAAGACTGTAAATTAAAGTTTGAAAGATCTATAGAACTGCCATGCTTATAAATTATTACCGGCTATCTTTGCTTTACCAAAAATAAACAACAATAAATATTCTAATTGAAACTACACTACATTTACCATCTCGTAAACTGAATCGCATTTGCGTGCCGAAAATAGAATAACTATCGACACCAGTGCGATTACTCTTCTTTGCTCCACTCTGAATAACCTTCTCGATAAGTCTCAAATACTGATATTCCTCGTGTTCTTCGTTTGCCTTTTCATTCATCTTCTGCTCCACGTCCTGGGTCGTTTCTTGCAATGATTTCTCGAGCTCGACACCGTTATTTGCCATCTCTTCTTATCGTAGTATATCGTATTACAATAATGCCTAAAAAATATATATATATATATACACAATGCGTTGCAGCAAAATCGTTATTCCAGATGGTACACCGTCATTACGAACTTTTGATTGCGATACCAAAATTAATCGAATTTAAAATCAATATATTTTCTCAAGATATTTCAGCTAGATCAGTCAACGATTATACACGTCCAAGCGCGGGAAAACATAAGTGACACGTGACTCAAGGTACAATAGGCCTGTTCTTTTTGGCTGAAATTTTGCACCAGTTCATCTTTCTTTCTTTTCTCTCCAGGACGAAAGAAGAGGAAGAAAGACGAACTGGTGCAAAAGTTCAGGCAAAAAGAACAAGCCTCATGATCGCGTTCAGCAGAGCTCAACTGTTGAAGAGCGGATCCGTGAACGCTCGTTGCTATTGGTGTATTTTTTTAGATCATCCAATGGCAGTGAGCATTCACGGATCCGCTCCACAACAGTTGAATCTGCTGAACGCGACCAATTTCACGAGCCGCTCAAACTAGAGAGCCTCACAGGGAGAGTGGCAAATTGCATCGCGTGACCCGGTCTCTCTGATTGGACCTAGGCATCAAAGGCTATGGGGCTTGCTTTCCAACAAGGACAATGGCTACGTTTACACCGTGCGCTTAGTCCGCGGCCTATACGATAGATGTCTTTGTTTAATATACAGAATAAACAAAGACATCTATTGTATAGGCCGCGGCCTAAATGCACGGTGTAACCGTAGCCA